TTTATAAATATTCATTGAGACATAAAAATACTCAAATTATGTTGTAAAAATATCGCTAGTCCATGTGAAAGCAAATAAAAATTTGACATTAAATATCTCACTTTCTATGATGATGCAAAGTTTTATTGAAATCTGTTTTATAAAATGTAGGTATTCACATGTACTAGGTATTGAATTCATTCCTTCTTGTGTGTATCAACTGTCATGTTCCCTGTCAAGATGAAATGTCTCCTCAGGTTACCAGTAAACACAGAGAAAGTGTAGAACAAAAGATTATGTCATTCTGACAACTTTAAACACAAATTAAAATTTCAATTTCAATAATTATATTATGTAACACTGTTATGTAAACAAATTATATTTACACTTAGTTGAGTCCTCAACAAGGCAGTTTGTGTAGTATATATTTATTAGACAAAATTAGATAAAAGAATTCAAAATCACTTGGAAAAACAGAAATAAAACACAAATATTTAACATGGAGACTAAAAAGAACAAGTGAGGAATAAAGTGTTTAAAATTTTGATAGGTCACAGGCACTTTCCTCAGGGAAATGATTTGGTTGGTAACTTTCCATATTAAATAAGTAGAATTTTCATTTTCATGCTCCCACCACTCACCTGGGTATGATTTCTGTAAATTATTCCTCTACTCCATCATTCCGTCCTTCTGTCCAACAGATGTCCTGACATATTATTGTTATGCCTGTAGATGTTGAGCTGGTTCATGGTTTATTGTTTAATTTTAAGTTCCAGTCAAGTATGAGCTTTGTTTCAGATGACTTCACTTCCACTGTACAGACCTTGGATTTTTGCAACAGGAGGGGTAGTTACAATGCCATAACACATCATGTATTGCATTTATTAGACAATACAAGTTAATATTTGACTCTTCAGACTGTTTTCATATCCCTCCAAGCATTCAATCTTTGAAAGAGGATTGTGATTTTCATATTGAATGTGCAAAGTTATTTTTTAACAGCAATATGGGAATTAGAGTTTTTCTACGTGCATAACATATAAAAAGTATATATAAGAAGGTTAACTTATGGTATACTATGAAAAAAAAAATTCCCAGCAGGTTTGGAAAAAGTTCAGAACATACAAATAATTACACTTGTATAGTGTCTGATAACTATTAAGTCTGTGAAATAATGTGGTCATTTGCACTGAAGAAGTTATGAGCTTACATAAATAGATCTTGAATTTCCTTATTTATGCTGCATATTTGTTTGGGAAGCAAAATAATCTTGCATTTCCTAATTTATACTGCATATTTGGTTGGAATTAGCAAAATAATCTTGAATTTCCTAATTTATACTGCATACTTGGTTGGAATTAGCAAAATAATCTTGAATTTCTTAATTTATACTGCATACTTGGTTGGAATTAGCAAAATAATCTTGAATTTCTAATTTATACTGCATACATGGTTGGAAAGCAAAATAATCTTGAATTTCCTAATTTATACTGCATACTTGGTTGGAATTAGCAAAATAATTTTGAATTTCTAATTTATACTGCATACATGGTTGGAAAGCAAAATAATCTTGAATTTCCTAATTTATACTGCATACTTGGTTGGAATTAGCAAAATAATCTTGAATTTCTTAATTTATACTGCATACTTGGTTGGAATTAGAAAAATAATCTTGAACTTCTTATTTTTCACTGAAGATATTTTACTATATGTTACAATCCAATTACAAAAGATACTGTCAGATCCAGTAATGTTCATTGTGTTCAATGATATTGTTATTACCTGGTGATTGTAGTTTTATATTTGACTGTGACAGAGTGATGTGATATTAATGGCCAAAAAGCTGATTTGATGAGCAGATTTTATGGCTGTTTAATGGCGACCATCATTTGCTTTGCCAGTGTGATTGACACCAAATACGGTCCTGTAGTAATTTAGGAAACGCTTTTTAAAGAGGAGTTTTGTATTTGTATTTCATTGTCAAAAATAAGATTTAATTGCTTTCTTTGATTCAGTTCGAAAATGTATCATACTTTTAGATAGCTGTCTTTATAAAATAAGATGTGGTATGATTCCAATGAGACATTAACACTGGACACTTTTAATTTGCAAAACACTCATTTGCAAATCCGCCGCCGCCTCTCCTTAGACCTACAGTGTCATGTATATAACCAAAATGTGCGGAATTACATGGGATTCAATAAATTCATTGCTTTTCTGCTGTTATTATTACATATATTTTGTAATTTGATTTAGAAAAACATGGGATTTTCAATATCCCATGGGATAAGGCAAATCCCATGGGATTGACCATTATCCCATGGGATTTTGGTTAAATCCCATAGGATTTTTTTGGGTCCCATGGGATAATTGTAGTCCCATGGGATATTTGTTGTCCCATGGGACAAAAAAAATCCCATGGGACTATAACTATCCCATGGGATTTTTAATATCCCATGGGACAAAATAAAATCATATGGGATTCAAATTATAAATATACAGTAAATAAATGTGTATGTTACAATGAATTCTGTTTGGTAGTAAATTGTTTTAAGATGAATCTTTTTAGTTGAATATCTTTTTTTCCTTGGAAATGTTAATGCAATTATATTGTTCTATAACTGTTCAAAACTAAACTTTTAAACAACAAAGCAGATAATGTAAGTATCAATATATGTTTATTTATGAATTCTAGAATACTTTTTTGAAACAAACACAACACAATTTTTTCCCATTTGAAATCAATGAAAACGCTATTAATAGGCTTAACATACTAGTAGCTTTTTACATAAATCTAATTTTTTTTTGGATATCCCTCCACCCAAAAAATTAATAGTTTCTTATCATCCAGCATTGTGTGATCGTAATGTATAGTCCACTTTTTGGCCATCAGCACAGAACATTGTCATTATTGTGGTTTTAATATCTTTAGATATCTAATAGAACTTCAATTCATTGACTGAGTGATGAAAATAATAACTGATCTGACTTTTGTCTTTGAATTTATTTTGGTCTTGTTTCTGTGTTTTCTCCTTTTATTCTAAGTGATGAATTTCAATCCTTCTGAAAAAGAACCAATAAAATCCGAAGTTATGGATAATAAAAATTGTTTGCATACATGTAGCAATAACATATGATTTTCAATAAAAATAGCTATGTGGTATGGATTTTTCTGATTGTTGAAGGTTGTCCAGTGTCATCAGTTGCTAACCTCCTACATCCTTTGGTCTCTGATGGACAGTTGTCAAATTAGCAACATACCACATCTTCCTATTCTAATATAATATATTATATAACAATCAATTTATGTATTCTTCTTTATAACATTTAGGTATTTTCCCCAGTTATATATATATATAGATCAATGTTAAAACTTTAGGCAAATACAATAAAATTCCATTTTTCACAAGAATTTGCAATATATTATACAGAAAGCCAACAATAGAAACAGCACTTCTTTAAGCTTCTGAAGTTCTGAAAGAGTTCCACTTGTGTTTTATTTCAATCAGAAAATACATTGAACTCTTTGGACATGTTGGAAATTATAACATTGATACAAAAAATTATATTGGGTTTTTTTTCTTATTTTTGTGTTGTATGGTTGCTGTCTCATTTTTATATATGGTTATACATATATCCTAAATCTTCTTTTTTTTAATACTTAATCATTAATAGTAAAAATGGGATATTTTTTATTTTGATAATCTCAAAACATTATTATTCTATCAAATAACTTATTTCCAAGTTCACAAAACACCAATGTGTCAGATATTAAATTTAAGACATGTATAAACATGATCAACAAGCAGTTGACAGGATGTCATGCAAAAATCTCACTAATATTAAACTTTCACAAAAACTCCATACTCAGCGAGTACTATTAAAGTTCTTTATAGTACAGGACAAATTCCTAGCATAGGACGACATGCCTGGCAAACACTAGCATGTGTCAATGTCTAGTCAATCATGTAATCAGGCTCAAAATCTTAGTTTGGCACTGAATTTAAAAATTCAACACATAATGAACATGTGTATGAAATTCAACTTCATGGTAAGCTATGTACCTTAACCTAAAACTTTAACCTAAGAATGTACTATAATTTCACATTATGACATTTCTATGTTCAGTAATCCATAAAATCAGGGTAAAAACAGTAAATGTGGTGTATAATGTATAAACAAGAGTGCACACGCTGAAATGTTGCGCCTTCTTTACTAATCATTGATATCATGTTGATAGTCCTAAATATAAAGCTTTACTACAACTATCACATAAACTCAACATGATCCAAGAAAATGAATTCAAGGTCATATAAACCTGATAAGAAATATATGTACACCTTACAATCATTCAATATACTAAATACAGTTGACCTATTGCTTATAGTTTCTAACATAGTCTAAGAAGCAGACTTAACCAAGAAAACTACACATTGACCAATGAACCATAGAAATGAGGTGAAGGTCAGATGAACCATGCCAGGCAGACATGTACAGCTTACAATCCTTCCATACAACACATATAGTTGACCTATTGCTTATAGATTAAGAAAAACAGACCAAAACACAAAAACTTAACACTGAGCAATGAACCGTGAAAATGAGGTCAAGGTCAAATAAAACCTGTTAGGCTGACATGTACATCATAAAATGTTTCCATACACCAAATATAGTTGACCTATTGCATTTAGTATTAGAAAAAAAAGACCAAAACTCAAAAATTTAACTTTGACTACTGGATAATGAAAATGAGGTCAAGGTCGGATGACACCTGCCAGCTAGACATGTACACCTTACAATCATTCCATACACCAAATATAGTAGACCTATTGCATACAGTATAAGAAAAACAGACCAAAACATAAAAACTTAACTATAACCACTGAACCATGAAAATGAGGTCAAGGTCAGATGACACCTGCCAGTTGGTCATGTACACCTTACAGTCCTTCCATACACCGAATATACTAGACCTATTGCTTATAGTATCTGAGATATGGACTTGACCACCAAAACTTAACCTTAAATATAAATAAAATGCTCCGCTGGGGCGCAGCTTGATACGACCGCAGAGGTCGAACCCTGAACAGTTGGGGCAAGTATGGACACAACATTCAAGCTTGATACAGCACTGAATTTGGATTGTAATTAAATATTTGACACAGCATAGGTTTCTGACACAGAATGAAAGTGGTCTAAGAACTTAAAAAAATTTTAATTTACCTATTCAAACCATATCATTATTATTTGCTTTTATATATAAATCAGAAATAACCAATTTAAAATGGAAAATTTTAAAGAAAAAAAAAGGAAAAAAAAATCCCCCCCCCCCCAAATGTTTTGAACCCCCTTATGATTCATCATCCCCAAACTCAATCCCAGCCTTCCCTTTGTGGTATGGTACCTTGCAGTACAATTTCAGAGAGATCCATACACTTGAACACAAGTTATTGTCTGGAAACTAGAAAAATGCTTGTTTTTTGGCCCCTGTTTGGCCCCAAATTCCTAAACTTTTAGGGCAATTACCCCCAACCTCAAACCCAGCTTTCCCTTTGTGATATGGAACCTTGCAGTACAATTTCATAAAGATCCATACACTTACACACAAGTTATTGTCCTGAAACTAGAAAAATGCTTGTTTTTTGCCCTTTTATGGCCCCTAATTACTAAATTTTGAGGGAATTACCCCCAAAATCAATCCCAGCCTTCCCTTTGTGGTATGGTACCTTGCAGTACAATTTCAGAGAAATCCATATACTTGAACACAAGTTATTGTCTGGAAACTAGAAAAATGCTTATTTTTGGCCCCTTTTTCCTATAATTTTTGGGTAATTACCCCCAAACTCAATTCCAGCTTTCCCTTTGTGATATGGAACCTTGTAGTACAATTTCATAAAGATCCATACACTTACACACAAGTTATTGTCATGAAACTAGAAAAATGCTTGTTTTTTGCCCCTTTTTGGCCCCTAATTCCTAAAATTTGGAAGCAATTACCCCCAAAATCAATCCCAGCATTCCCTTTGTGATATGGAACCTTGTGATACAATGTCAGATAGATCCATAGACTTGCACACAAGTTATTGTCATGAAACTAGAAAAATGCTTGTTTTTTGCCCCTTTTTGGCCCCTAGTTAATTCCTAAAATTTGGAGACATTACCCCCAAAATCAATCCCAGCATTCCCTTTGTGATATGGAACCTTGTGGTACAATGTCAAAGAGATCCATGTTATGTCTGGAAGTTACAAAAATGCTTATTTTTGGCCCCTAATTCCTTAACTGTTGGTACCATTACCCCCAAAATCAATCCCCACCTTCCTATTGTAGTATTGAACCTTATGGTAAAATTTCATTGAGATCCATTCACTTAAACTAAAGTTAGAGTGCGAAAACTAATGTGTCTTTGGACGACGACGACGACGAAGCCTGAACGTCATACCAATATACAACCACAAAAATTTTTTTGCGGTCGTATAAAAAGAAGATGTGGTATGATTGCCAATGAGACAACAACTCTCCACAAGAGACCAAATGACATAGAAATTAACAACTATAGGTCACCGTACGGCCTTCAACAATGAGCAAAGCCCATACCGCGAAGTCAGCTATAAAAGGCCCCGAAATGACAATGTAAAACAATTCAAACGAAAAACTAACGGCCTAATTTATGTACAAAAAATGAACGAAAAACAAATATGTAACACATAAACAAACGACAACCACTGAATTACAGGCTCCTGACTTGGGACAGGCACATACATACAGAATGTGGCGGGGTTAAACATGTTAGCGGGATCCCAACCCTCCCCCTAACCTGGGACAGTGGTGTAACAGTACAACATAAGAACGAACTATAAAAATCAGTTGAAAGAGGCTTAACTCATCAGATGGATAAAAATACAAATACTACAAATACAAGTGGACGTGGCCGGGTACTCGTACATCCAAACAACAAAAAAAGACACTAAGTACAGATCTGAGAGTACTCGCAGTTACTGACAGCTAGTACAAAGCCACTAACAACTAATAAAAAAAATCATGCATCTAAGACTAAGTTCTTGTTCACTGATCCATGAAATGAGGTCTAGGTCAAGTGAAAACTCTCTGACGAGCATGAGGACCTTGCAAAGTATGCACATACCAAATATAGTTATCATATTACTCATAATATGAGAGAAATTAACATTACAAAAAATCTGAACTTTTTTTTCAAGTAGTCACTGAACCATGAAAATGAGGTCAAGGACAATGGACATGTTTCAGACAGAATTCGTATCATGAGGCATCTATATACAAAGTATGAAGCATCCAGGTCTTCCAACCTTCTAAAATATAAAGCTTTTAGGAAGTTAGCTAACGCCACCGCCGTAGCCACCACCGGATCACTATCCCTATGTCGAGCTTTCTGCGACAAAAGTTGCAGGCTCGACAAAAATACATGAACATTTTAAAGTACTAAATTTTGAGTATATACCTGTAAAACCACAAGTTACTAACTTAAGTTCATGGTGAACTGTAACCAAAAACTTTAAGTGAATACAATTTAGAGAAAGACAGATGGATGCACGAACACTATCAAAACAGAGCATAAAACTTACCGAACAAGATGTTTTACATTTATCCTTCAGAAGCAGGAAAATTCTCTGCCCTCCATGATATAAACTTCAAATTCATTCATGCAAAATATGAAAATCTGCAAAAGTAGGACCTTGTACCGCAGCTTATCCACATTTTGACTTTTGAACTGCATTGTTCTTTTCATCTGGCTGACAACCTAAACATAAAAAAAAATTATAAACACATATAAATTCTGGATTAACTTCGTGTATTTATTTTTGTTGGTACAAACAATTTTTTCCAACTTTAAACTAAATCTGCCTCTGCTTTAAAAAACAATTGAAAACCATTATTAACTGCATGTATTTATCTTAATTGAAAACAATTTCTTGAGTTTTTCTCATTTGTATCACCCTGTTATTATATATAAATTTTATTTTTGTCCCTTTTTAAAAATAGGAATGGTTTAAATTCCTCAATATCATGATAATTCTAGGTCAGTCAATTAAAAATGTATGAATAAATTATTTAACCTATATACTATCATTTTCGATAAAAACTAGGCTCTGTGTTGAAGACCGTACCTTGACCTATAATGGTTTACTTTTATAAATTGTGACTTGGATGGAGAGTTGTCTCATTGGCACTCATACCACATCTTCCTATATCTACAAACAGATTTTATGGGCCAGCAGACATTATACCCTGGAGGTGGTTTTAAAAAAAGCATACGACTTAGATGTACCATAAGCATGGAAAAACAATTCAGCAGTCAGTTTCACAAAAATCTTACAAATAATATTGATAGTAATTAAGTCATGTACAATACAGTTTACTTACGATTACTTGTAAGTTTGTTTTTTTTCTCAAACCGACTCAAGTATACTTATAATCAATCTTAGTCGTAAGTATTAAGTATTATTCATCTTTTGGATAATTTGTTGGTTTATTTTATGAATATACAGTGGCGGATCCAGAACATTTCATAAGGGAGGGCCGGCTCCAGTCATGCTTCAGTGATCCCTATATAATCAACCAAATTTTTCCCAAGAAAGGGGGGCCCGGGCCCCCCCCCCCTGGATCAGCCTATGATATATGTTTATATATCTCTCCGATATGCCATTTCAAATCAAATGTGTATTAAATAAAACTTTACACTAGAAAAGTAATGGATAGTTACTCATTTGGGAAACTTTCAAATTCACAGCATGCCGGTTCCTGTGACTGTGTTCAAAGTGGTGGGTTTTCACCCTCGTTGTATTGCGGAATAATGATTTAGGCAAATTGAGAAAAACATCATGTCTGTGGTTGAAAATAGTCATTAGTGTGTGTGCATTAATTTTCTATACCTTCTTATTTAATATCTTTCCAATTTTGAGTACTGACGGCAAGTGTTGTAACGTATAGTGTACCAATGTCTTGAGACCCATGTGCTATTTTACAAGTGCGATCGAGGAATGCAGGGGAAAGAAACTTATCAATTATGTTTATTCTTAAGACAAAACTGAGCCGCCGTAAAAATGAACCGTGTCGAGAAGGTTACTGACACGTAATAGGGCAGAGACATATATACACATATGTGTATATATGTCTCTGTTATAGGGTCATCCCTCGAGAACATTAACTAGTACATTGATAATTTACTATGCAGTCAGTATCCCGAAAAAAAACGTATGGATGCAAAACGCTTAGTGGTTTCGGCTGACTACTAATACGTGCACTTTGTCTCAAAATAACCCGGCTGCGTTAAAGCAGAGACATATATACACAGAGATTGGCAACTCCGTGAAATCCCGTTGAAAAACGCGGCCCGGAATGAGATTCTCGTCGATAATTATTCTACAACATGTAGACAAGTAAGGGATGAATAACCTCGATAGCTAATCAAGAAAAGTAATAGGAAAACTTATTTCAGATCAAATAAATTCTTTTTCTAAAAAACTACTTGAAATAGTTGTATTTTTTTTAATGTATTTGATTGAGAAAATATTTTTTCTTTTTTTCGGCATTTCTTTTAATTTAAAAAGTAAAATCTGGTAATGATCATGATATTACAAGAAACATTTCTTTGCTAAAGTTTGCTTCTAAATTACACAGTGAAATTATGTGTGTCCGATTTTCCGGTCATTATTTCCTTAGAGTTGTGACTGTGGATTCACAGGTGTGCGATTACGCAATTTATTGCCCTCCGATCACCTGAATTTTGCCGGAGGTGAAGTTCTAAATGGATTATTACTTGGTAATTGTTTTTACAACTAAACAAATTCTGACATATTATTTTAACCATGACCAGAACTTTATTTTAACAGAAGCACTGGGCTATACTATGAATAGGGTAAACGGACAGAAAGTCACAAATTGGATAGAACAAAAAGTCACAAAAAATTTATTGCCAATTGTTTGAATATATAAGAAAAAGATCTTCAAATAATTTCTTTTTTTACATTTATTCATTTTTAAGTTCAGGAAATTGTTCATAAGCCTTGATAAATGAAAAATTATTAAATTTTAATCATGTAAATAATATATTTCTTGGCAAACCACTTTGACATTTTGTTATCATAACAATTATTTGATCATCATGAATATTTATTGAATACATTTTAATTACAAAGTTGCTTCATATATTATAGTTCAATAAAAAATAAAAAAATTATTTTTAAAATTAGTGTTTTCTTGTTCAGAGAAAAATAATCTCAAAACTGAATTGTGACTTTTTGTCCTGTGACTTTTCGTCCGTGACTTTTTGTCCTGTGACTTACTGTCCTACATTCTACTATAGTATATATATGTCTCTGGTTAAAGTTGAAATCAGGATGATCTTTGGGGTTTGGGGGGGGGGGGTCTTCTTTTTCTGTGTTCTTTATTTTTTTTTAGCTATATTTCTAAAAACTTACACTTTTTGCTCATTACACTGTAAAAATTGTGCTTAGAATTTAAACGTGTTGCAAGACTTATGTGCTTAGGAAAGTGTTTAATTTCTAAACATAACAAAATAAACATGTTTTGGCTCTCAGCACTTCGCAATAAACATGTTTTGGCTCTCAGCACTTTGCATTAAACATGTTGCTGTGCTAAACATGTTTAGCTACTTCGTCAAGTATATGAAGCTAAACGTGTTTAAAATCTAGACACTTTCAATATTTAGACACTTTCCTAAACACGTTTAGAATTACAACACATTTAGGCCAAAGACGGCATTCATATCACGTGCTAATTTTTGAGCGGGAAGAAGAAACAAAGAACCCGAAGTCAAAGGCCACGCTGTTTACTTCTGACCATAACTGACCGTAACTTGACTGTTTCAGAAAGGTAAGGAGTTATGATTATACTGTCTTTTATTTTGTACTGCCAATTTTAAATGATTATTGACAGTTATAAGCATTATTTACAAGTACACTACCGTATAGTCAATGCAGGAGAAAAAAGGGGGTATCATCTCACGAAGCAAGTGCTTGTAAGAGCATTAAGTGTCCAAACTATCTTGTGTAAAGATGTTAAGAGTTGTTTAATGTTAAGCAAGTTACAATCATGCAAGTTTGCACTTATTTTTTAATTCATATATGTTCTTGGAAAGGAGTTTGTGAGGATAATTTTCGTTCGGTACTCTGCAGATTACAATGGAACATGAAGGGTAGCGGAATCTGCCGAGTCTTATAAGAATGAGGTGCATCATTCGCAAATCCAGCGTCATATCGAGTTCATTGTTTTCGTAAGCACTTCCGAGATGCACAATCAACATTTCCTCAAAATAAATATTAAGATGCTTGTTTATTTCAATAGTTAGAAGCGGTTGTGCTATTCTTATAATTTTATTGATATGTATTGTTTTATTCTAGATGAGAGAAGTGCAGAGGAAATCATCATCTGTCTTGACATGCTAAAAGAGGAGATAAAGAACAGTAGCAAATATGTTGCTAGGTAAGAATCAGAAGTGTATTTGATTTTAAAAATACCAATATATATTTGATCAAATGAATAATATTAAGCATGAAAACAAGTTTTATATTAAAAAATATCAATTGATTCATCAGTAAATGTATGCTTGTATACCACATTGGTCTTAACGTTGTTATCTGGATCTTTAATCATGCTTTTACTTTTTGGTGTTGTAGTTCGTATACTTATATTTTTTTATTAATTCTGCTTAGTTGCTTATCATTTTTTTCTATATTTCAGGCCAGTGACCAGCAGTTGGGTACTAAGAAAGGAGAAGCTCTGATTGACTTGTAAATTGAAAACAGGACATTTTCAAATTGTTTTGTTGTAGGGATGGGGTACAAATAGAAGTAGGACTGGTCAATATTATGAACATGTACTTTGTTATGAATTTATGAGTTTATGTTTGATTGTGTTCAATGATTAACTGGAAATAAATGATAACATAAATTCATTTGTTTTATATGTTGTAATTGTGTTTTAAAGCTAGATTTAGTATAATGATTATTTCATTTCAAAAAGTTATAGACTATTTTACGAATATTTGAAATGAAGACAAAATGCAATAGTCGAATGGCGTGAATTGAATTAAAGTAAAAACTCATTGAGATTGAAAAGGTATTGGTCACATTCAATTTGATATGGAAATTCCAGTTTCTTAGTTTGATGCATTGGCTCCTTTTTGTGATGGTATGAAAACCTGTTTTATTGAGAGCTATCATACGTTTAAAAGTCTAGTCTTCCGGAATATTAGTTTAATTGGGGCCTAATGAAGTAACGGCTTCTCACACTAAAATGAGAAACATGTTTCTTCACGACCCTTTATGGCCTAAACATGTTTACATTCAAAACACTTCACAGCTAAACGTGTTTCCAGACAAAACACTTCACAGCTAAACATGTTTCCAGATAAAACACTTCACAGCTAAACATGTTTACAGTCTAAGCACTTTTTAGCTAAACATGTTTCTAATCTAAACGCTTTACAGCTAAACATGTTTACAGTCTAAGCACTTTTTAGCTAAACATGTTTCTAGTCTAAACGGTTTACAGCTAAACATGTTTACAGTCTAAGCACTTTTTAGCTAAACATGTTTCTAGTCTAAACGCTTTACAGCTAAACATGTTTACAGTCTAAGCACTGTATAGCTTGACACATTTAGGCTGTTAGCACATTAAATATTAAACATGTTTAGATTTAAAACATGTCAAAAATCGGTTTCATAAATGTGTTTAGGAAAGTGTTTAGGCTCTAAACACAATTTTTAGAGTGTACTCTCTTTCCTCATATTTTAGCATTTCATTATTCTTTAATATTTATTGTTTGCCCGTTATTCTCTATTCTGTTAACCCCATCCATACCCTCTTATGTGGACTTAAGCTTTCGGTAGTTTATTTTATCCTATTTCTGTCTATGTGAATGTAAATACATTATTTATCACAAAACAAAAACTTACTAAATATTTTTTTATGAAGTCCTCACCAGTTGCGGATCAAAAATGTCATAAGGAGGCACTAACTGTCATGCATAAAGAGGGGGCCCGCTTCAGTGATTCTCTAAATAATCAACCAATATTTTCCAAAAAAGGGGTGGGCCCCCATGCTCCCACCTCAAAACCCTTACCACTTCGTATCCTTGAATTCAGATTCAAGATCTCTCTGACTAAAGTAAGTAAGTAAGTCACATTTGATTATATCAGGTTTTTGAATTGAACTGGCGGATAGTTGTTTCATTACCAATCGTACCACATCTCCATATTTTTATATATACGAAAGCTTTATTCATATTTTTTGATGTATTGATGAATGTGTAAAGATGCAGCAATTGTAATACATTTCAAAATACAGCACAAGAGATGCAGATTATATAAAACTTATCAGTCGAAGACATACTGACAACGCCATGGCAAAAACTTAAAAAAGACCAAATGACGTACAACAGTCTATAAAATTAACTATAGCATACAAAACGCAAACATTTAAAACACTTAAGAAGCACCCAGAAAGTCAAATAGAAATTAAAAGAATAAATAATTTGTAAAGACTTTCAACTAGGCCTACAGCTATATTTTCTTATCGTCTAACAGTAAACATAGGTTCTGGTATTATGTGATAAGTCATTTTTTCATGCAGACCCAGTTTCATTGATACCTTGAACTTAAAGTGGTTTTATGCATATCAGCCCAGCTTATGTGTGTAATTTTATTAAACAATTCAACAATACACGTTCTAAACAGGTTAAATCAATTTAAAAATTTACAAATTCAGATCTACTGGCATTCAACACCCAATTACTTACTTGCTGTATATTGCTAACTTTGATTGTATATTGTCAATCCCTCCACATCGTGAATACGCCATGCGAGGTGGTGGCTAAGTTTGATTCAGGCGGCTTCGAAGCGTAGAAAAAAATCCAGGTAAATGAAAGTGTAAAATTTTGTTGTTGAAAATTTAAAGTACTAAATTCCTAAATTTGTACTTAACTCCGTTCTACGGGTAAAATGGTTGTTTGATAAGAAAATAGGATAAAAAGCATCCGGAAAAATTAATTATCAAATTAGAAGTATTCGTAAATGGATATGAAAAAACTTAACAAGGAATAAGTATTGGTAAAAGGACAGAAAGTCGCAGTACAAAAGTTTAAATTAATTATTTTACAATTGTTTAAATATATGAGAGAAAGTTCTGGACGAATTGACTTTATTTATAGATAAATGTATTTAGTTGAGGAAATGATTAATTCGCCTTCAAATAGTTTTTTTTTATCAATAACTTATAAAAAGGAGACATTTTTGACAGCATGAAGCCAGTTAATTACCAAACCACTTTGGCAGATTGTTTCCTTAAAAATCATTATTCAATATTAATATTCAAAAATAAATTTTGTTTACAAGTCCGTTTCCTTTTAAAAATGTTTCAGAAAAATACTGAAACGTTTTTAAAATTAAGTTTATTCAAAGAAAAAGATATCCTAAAACTGAATCGTGACTTTTTACTTGTTACTTTTTGTTGTACGTTCTAAGTGTCAATCCTAGCAAACACAAATTTGGAAATAAAATCGATTACAATGTAATATGTTAGAAGGAAAAAGGGGGGTTAATGAACAAATTATTACTATACACTCACATACTTCTAAAAAGATTTGCATATGTAAGTTGTCTATAGATAATGTTAAATTAGTTCAGGAGTTTCAATTAATTTAGGAGAAAAAAAAGATTATAAACAGTTTAGTTTTCGACGCCTACTACTACAAAAAATTCTGATTCTTTTTGTAGATTTGGTACTTCAGTTTCGACTCAAAATTTCCTATTGGAATTGTTAGATACCAAATATTTAGGAGAAGATTGTATTTGTACTTTATGTAATTGTGGTGATATTGGCGACGCGATTCATTATATTATAGCAAGGATTTGTAAAAATCCTTGATTATAGAATGTTCGGCAATAGACGAAAGTAGACAAACCCTATTTAAACGGGATTTTGATCTCCAAGGACGCCACATTTTACATCGAATAAGATCTATATTTGTTAACGTATTCAAATGAAATAACTTGAATTGAAAATTTCCCGACTATGTGAAGATTTTTTATATTTCTAAATGGCTTCAATTATTACATACAAAACGAAAAATTTATTTAACTTTTTTTGTAAAAACAATATTCATGTATTTTTATAATTTTTCTAAGGAAACGTTTTTTTTTTGTTTGTTTGCAAAGTTTACTTGTATGTGTTTATAACCATCACCAATCAGTCCTAATTATTAAAGATCAAACGTCCTAATCAAAATGATGATTGGTATTGAATATGATCATCGGTCATGCATGACGTATCCCAAATAACTTCTTTAATGTTGGTTTTATTTTATCAAAACCAAAATTTAAAGGTCAAATATTAAATTATCTATCGAATGTATACCCTCAACGCTCACTAAAACATATATACATGTCCTGAGTGACTTTTTATGTCCTGTCTGCACTTAGGAGGTCCTGAGCGGTTTTTAGACGTACCGTTAATTTTATAGGCATATATTTGAAGCTGTTCTTAATTATGTACATTATCTATAGGTATACATGTATCAGACAAAAAGACTTTCCAATGAACTTAGTTCTAGTTATCTTAGTTCCTAGTCACAGGCACTTGTCTCAGAAAAAAATTTCCTATATACTTTTAATATTATATTAAGCAGGGACTTTCTATACTAAGTTAGTATAGAAAGTCCCTGCATTAAGGTATATAGGAAACAAAATTCTGAGACAAGTGCCTGTGGTCCTAGTGTGAAATAAATCCACTGGGAATTGGCCTTTTTAAACACATCTATATATACGTTTTTTCAAGGGTTTGTACATATAAAGTGAAATTATGTTTACTCAATGCGTAGTTACATAAGTTTATTTGCTACTTTTTTCTTCTTTATTTTATATAAATGATTTTTTTTTTAATTTTAACATTTTTTTCTTCGAAAAAATTGTAGTGTTGCAATAGGGAATGGACATAGATACTTAACTACATTTAACGAAAGAAATTTTGTGTAATGTCATCAATCTGTATTACACATAGACAGGATGTTCTCTAGAAAACTATGGTATTTCTAATACGTTATACACACCCCAGGGTATGTACGCACTGTCGTAATGGAAAATTACTGCATGCTTTTATTACCTGTAATCAGCCATGCAACAAATCAGTTGACTGACCATGTCATTACAGTTTAAAAAGTTTTCCTCAGATCAAAACGGAATATTCATTTTAACTTTAAAATTTAAAACTTTAAAAAGTATACTTTGACATAATTATGAAGAAAAAGAATCGAACAATTTAATAATCGGATTTTTCCAAAGATTAAGATACAATTATATTTATTATTCTGGGACTGACAGATAAATCAAAGGCACTTGTCTAAGAATTTTTTTCTATATACTTTTATTACTTAATTGATAGGGGGTGTCGCTGGGGTTCTGTTACCCCACCCTATTCATATAATTTCGATCTTAAAATTGTAACCTTTTCCCATATTGGTTGGTTTTCGTGGGGTGTGTTGGAAAAGTGGAATATTTAAGGCTAAGATTCTGTATGTAATGTTTACTTACGGCGAGACTTTCGACTTTTCGACCTATTCCAGCGGCACGTCCTATCACCTTGTATATAGGAAGTGTCCCCCCCCCCCCCCCCCCCGAGTAAAATACACAAATGTATAATACCTTAATTCAGGAGCACAGTCTGTCTTTACCGTAAATAACTTTGAGATTAATATGTAAGTTTACTTTGCTAATCGATGTTCCTGTAATTCAGATTTAAATTTATTTGTGTGACCCCCGTCACTATTTATATTCACTCAAAGAAAGGGGTTCTCCGTTACTGGGAAAATCTTATCTGATTCAGGATCAATTTATCGGTTACACTCCCCTATCACCAGTGACTCTTTGTTGTAAGCTGACATTCTGAAAAAAGGCATACTGTTGACTACCAATTTGCATGCTTAGTTACAGATGTCGACTCGGACTACTGCAAAAGACAACAATTCAGTTCACTGATTTAGATTGAATAGTGGTTCGGTTAATCCCCTCTTCCCCAAA